TTTGACAAACTTGTCAAAGTAAGTTAATGGCTAGTGATTGTTAACACTACAACACAGTAAGGGATTAAAAATCATTCATGAGTAAAGCAGCAGCTTCAACGTGTACATCATCAGGTGGTGATGAAAACATTTACTTCTGTCTGTTAAAAATATCGCTGGCTCAATAAAGTTGAAAGAAATAATCTCTCAATTATATAGCTTCTATGAGGAATGTTGAAAAGATAAAGTGATATATAATCAAATAATGTTAACTAAAAATTGGTAATCATTTAAGGCTTTTATGTAAAATGTAGGAATATTACCAGAATGCAGTGATGTGCACATCTCATAAACTCATATTTTAGCATTTCAACTAACAATCCTATTCTTTTTAGAAAAAAAGTACAAATTTTGAATTTCATGGCTATTTTACGGCTAGAAAAGTAACCATAACGATTAWAAACAACCTTTTTCAGCAGAACATTTGGATGACGATTAACCATTTTATGAAAACTGTCAAAAAATAGTGGATTAGTTTTAAAAAAAAAACATGTACATTTGGATGCATTAGTGCTTCTAGCGTGGGCGCCATCAGTTCAGAAAAGTATGAGTTTTGGACGTCGTCTTTTTCAGGRAAGGTCTTGCTTATTTCAGCAAGACAATGCATAACTGCGTGGAGCATTCTCCAAAAAACTATAACCACTGAGGAAAATACAAGTTTGAGATTTGAAAATCTCAACATTGTTTATCATGGGCACCATCAATTCAGAAAAGTATCTTTGGGTTTTAGACGTATTTTTCAGGGAAGGTCTTGYTTATTTCAGCAAGACATTGCAAAAYTGCAWACAGCATTCTCTTTTAAAAACGGCAACAATTGCTGTGAATAAAATACGAGTTTATGAGATTTGAAAACCACAGCATTGTTTTTTTCATTTACATTTTACACAACGGCTMAAAAAAACTTTTGAACCTGAGCTGAAATTCATCAAGAAAAAGCATTGATGGGGCAAATTCAAAAGGCAAATTAATTGCAAGCCTTTTTTTTTTAAAGGAGCCTGGATTGAATTGTTTGATGAAAAAAAGTTTGATATATTCATCAAATCAAAATTTGACATTTTTAAAATTCTTTTTAATGATATATACATTATTAACCTTTTGAGAATATTTATTTATAAAAACTAAAGTGAGCTGAAGAATAAATAAATACATACAAACTGATTAATTAACAGCATGTTGTTGACGGGAACCATCTAAAAGATGACAAAGAGTGCACGTGTGTCGCGTTCAGAAGAAGCTCTTCTTCAGTTTAATCGTCGGCGCAGCTGGAACGGCTGGCTGAGCTTGTCTAGCCGCGGCTTTAGCTTTGCTGCTAGCTTGGTTAGCCCGTATCGCAGACTCCAGACGCGTTTTGAGCTCGGGTGCCGCGCCGATTACAATCTTGAAGGCAGCTGGGTAGAGAGGCCCGATCCGCATCAGGTTCTGAAGGGCGAACTCGTGCAGGCTTTTAGACACTTGGGGCGCAGAGGAGATGGCGTTTTCGTCCAAAAGGTACGAGATGAGCGTCGGGACGAGGAGGGCCAGCAGCTGCACCCCTGTTGGAGCACGGAGACAGAACAAACGTTAAAATATAAAAGGAACCAAACAGATTTTACAGCACAATGTAACATCAAGTCCAAATCAATACTGAAACTGACGGTAAACCAGAGCAGGGCTTCTAAAATTAGCTTGTGATGYGTTAGCGCTGGAGACAGGAGACGTCCCGAGGCGGAGAGCTTTAATGGAGCCGGACACTCGGGTGAAACAATTACCGTGCTTTAGTGGTCCATTAGCAGAGGCTATACTCACGGTTCTTCTCCTCGCCCATGCCGACCAGGTTCTCCAGGACCCGGATGCCCTCCTGGACGGCCTGCAGCTCGGCGGCRGTGCCGGGTCGACTGCGCTCCACCGCCCTCAGCTTCTCCACCATGAGTGGAGCCAAGGCGTGGATGTAAGGAGTGGAGAGGGCTCGGTTGGTGTGTTGGAACACAGACAGCAGCAGCTGGTAACACCGGGCCTGAACCTGTGGCAGCAAGAGTTAAACCTGCTTATCTGAGCCTCGGATCAAGGACTCATTATCGTGCGGATGCTGAGTCAGCGCTTTTTCCTATTTATAGCCTCTTCTGTACTTTTATTTGTAATCAAAGTTCTTCTGTGGACATTGGGTAATTTTAGCCGTTCATATTTAAAATATTTCAGCTCGTTCAGGTGATGAGTTTTGTTTTTTTGTTAGTTTTATACTTTTCTAAATATTTATCTGTAACAAAAATAAATCCATTCAGAAATACATTTCAAATTATTCAAATTTCTTTAAAATATGCTTCAGTAAACTAAGTTTACTTTTGTTTTTCTATGCTAATTTTAGCTTCTGGCTAACATTTTGTAATGTATAATCTTTAGCTACTGTTCTACTCTTTTTACTTTTATCTATACTTTTCACCACTTTTTGCTTTTAGCTACTATTATGCTAGCTTTAGCTTTAACCTACCATTTTCTACTTTTAAACTTTAGCTACTGTTTTGTTCCTTTTTGCCTTTAACTACCATTTTGCCACTTTTTCCTTTTACTCACTGTTTTGCTATTTTCAGTTCTTAGTTAGTCTTTTGTTACTTTAAGCTAATATTATACTTGTTTTAGCTTTTAACTACTCTTAGGTCTTAGCTATTCTTCTGTCACTTAGCTTCAAGCTAGCCTTTTGTCGCCTTTAGCTATCATTCTGCAGCATTTAATATTTTAATTTCATCGTTGATAATTATAGCTATCATTCTGCTCCTTTTGCCTTTTGTCGCCTTTAGCTATCATTCTGCAGCATTTAATATTTTAATTTCATCGTTGATAATTATAGCTATCATTCTGCTCCTTTCAGCTATAATTTAACTAATATTAGCATCTGTTTTGCTCCTTTTATCAACTTTAGCTTTTGTTTGCTTCTTTTAGCTTCTATTCTGCTGCATATAGCTTGTTTCCCACTCGTTTTCTCTTCTGTTCTGATCATTTCGGCCTCTACTTTACTGGTTTTAGCTTCTGTTCTGCTTGTTTTGACTTTAATCTCCGTATTCAATGCCCAGATTTCTCACGGGACGGTTGTTGGTAGGTTCTGTTCGGCTCGGTTCTTACCCACGGGTCGCTGGAGTTCAGGGCGTTGCGGAAGCGGTCCATGCAGCCGTTCTGCAGGACCACGACTCCGACGAGTTCACCGCTGGCCGACAGCAGGAAGAGCGTGATCGCCGTCAACATGCTGACCTCGTCCATGTCGGGTCTGGACTCGTCTGCAGGGAACGGCCGACCGATGAAAAACTAAAAGCACTATGGCGGCCATCTTGAATCTGAACACAAACTGATAACCCRTTGTTTACCTGGCTGAGAGTACTCCAGCACAGACGCCAGGCTGCTTCTCACGAGGCCGGTCCACTGCGTCTGGATGCTCTCGGACCGGGCCAACGGTGAGGTGACGATGGTTTTGATGCCCTGCAGCGCAGCCGAGACGGGAACGGGTACAGAGTTGTCGGCTGTCTTGATTGCAGTTTCCCTCAGAACCCCGGTGATTAGGAAGAGAACTGTGGGTAGAATGGTCATTCCTCCTACAGCATACAAACAAACATAAAATCAATGCAAACACTGAAATATTGTGAAAAGTTTCAGCTTATTTAAATCGTGTACTTGTTCTCACCTGAAGGCGAGCAGAGTGACGGCAGCTCGGCCAGGATAGAGACGGTGTTGGCCACCAGACGCTCGCTCCCTTCGGGCAGCCTCTGAGGCCTGAGYGGCGCGTGGCTCGGCGACTCCTTCACTCGCGAGTTCAGCTGCGGCACGTGGCGGACCACGAGGAAGACCAGCAGCTCCATGGCCGCGTACACCAAGGACTTGCCCGGGACCAGCTCCCCCGTGTCTCCGCCTTCCCCGAGGACAGGCCGGGTGTCTTTTTCCCCGTCTTCTTCTTTGCCTGAGCAAAATAATAAAATTATTTCAAACTTGTGCAAAACTCTCGAGTCATCGTTTGAGTGAAGTTAAACGAAAACAGCTCCAGATGAAGGTTATAATAGATTAGGATTTTTTCATTATAGTTTAGTTTTATTTCATTGTTACTTTTGTCTTTTAATTCAGTTTTAATTAGTTTTTACAGTGTAGTTGCTAGTTTTTATTAGTTATTATTGCATTTTTAATACTTAGTTTTAGTTTAGTTTTTTTATTAGTTCTAGTATTAGATTTTTTTTAGTTTGAACAAATATTTGCCAATGAATCCTCCAGCTTGTGATGTTCCTGTGAGTTCACTAACCAGCAGCTATTTGGTCACTAGTTAAAGTTCCTGTGACAAGCCTATCCTTCAAATACAAAACGTCAAAGAAAGCATCTTTATACTTAAGAAAATTGGCATTGTACACATGATTTTTACCCATTTTGTCACATAACTGGCCTATTTTCTTTTAAATTTGGCTCAGCCAAAGTGAAACAGGAAGTGACATCAAAGGGGAACTCATTAATAAAATAAACTTGCTGGTCTCTGTTTATTAAAACAAAGTTATTTAAACTTTAACTCTTCTTCATCTCTCTTTGATAGCAACTAAAATAATCTAAAGAAACAAATTCTTCTCTACAGTCTTTGTTGTTAGCTTTTGTAACAACACTGTTTACATGCAGACATTCCCCTTTGACATCACTTCCTGTTTCTTCACATGCAAACATCTCAACAACTGTTCATCTGAGCGATGTGAAATTTATTTTGCAATATGTTATCAATGTTATCTTTCCAAAAATGCATTCACGTTTATTATGAAAATTTGATGTCACAGGCACTTTAAAGCCTCCATTATAGTGACACCTTCCTAAAATAATTGCGTAACTCAATTTTGCCAACCAAAAACTTGGGTGATTATTTTAGGACAATAATAGCTGTCTCCAACTTGGTGCTACTCRTTGCTTGTTTTTCACGGGAGCTACTGAGAGAAGCTAGCGTGTCAAGATAGTCCCAGTTAGCCATCTTGTGTGCGCTTGATTCATGCAGTTTTTCCCTGGAGATATTTTCCACCTATTTTATCACCTGTTTCCACTACAAGACACTTGCTTTGATTTTTCTCGCAGTCATATTCAAAGAAAACCCACAGTGGACGCTTTCTCCCAACTTTTGTTGTCATCATTTGGCAGACGATGCTGAGCAGCAGATTGTAAACAAGAGTTACGGCACACAGCTAATGTGAAACTACTCTGTTTAAAAATAAAAAAAGATCCACGTCTCAAAATAAGTTGACAAACACTAAAAGTAAGGATATTCTATCTATAATTTTAGTTAGTTATAGTTCATTTTGTAAAAAGATTATACAGTTTTTGTTATTGTTTTTTCATTTTATTACAGTTTTTATTTGTTTTTTAGTTAGTTTTATTTAACTATAATAACCCTGCTCCCGACCTCTGCCGGTTCTCAGTTTTTGCAGGTGGTCCTGCGCAGCCCTGATGGTCTCCTGAACCACAGTGGTGACCTGGAGCTGGACACCAGGGGGGTCTCGGGTCAGCAGGAGCCTGTGCAGCACATTCAGGAGCTCCACCGCCAACAACTGCAACACAAAGTATACAACACCACCAGGAACGACAGGCAATGATTCAATCTAAGACTTAGTTGGCTTGTAAAATAAATTAAAAGATAACTCTGCAGCCAAGCAGACCTGGTCTTCTGCGATATGCTGTTTGGCCCACGGAGATTCCAGCAGAGTTGACAGAGCCAGCAGGCAGGACATGACGTGTTCGATGGGCTCCTCAGGTCGAGGGAAGCAGAGAAACTCAATACTGACACCTGAGATAAAAATAAACAATAAAGCTTCTCAACACTGGTTAATCGCTTCAGCTACGTGACAGAATATGCTTTACCCAATAGAAGGTGCATCCGGTCTTTGACAGACTCCTCAAAAGACCTGGTTTTGGAGGAACCTTCAGGAGACTTGGAGGGATCCTCTGGATCTTCGCCTGCTCCAAACCCGGTGCTGTTCAGCCAGAGGGCCACGGCGTGCAGRACCGGGGCCCAGGAGCTACGGTAGTGGAGCCGTGCCGTGTCTATGGTCTCTGGGGTGTAAAAAGCTCCACCTGAGAAAATAAAAATCCATCAGGAGGATTTTATTTTACTTAAAAAAATCAGTTTTAAGACATCTTCTTTGGCTACCAACAGGTGAGTGCGCCGAGAGCTGAAGGACAGCTGAACTGTGTTGAAGAAGCTAGTTATAGGTAGCTATGCTAAAGGTAAAAGAAACAGAACAGAAGTTAAAACAAGCAGAACAGTGAAAAACTAAAGAAAGGCAGAACATAGCTGAGAGCTAAATAGAGCAGCACAGTGAAAAGCTAAAAAAATGGCAGAACACAGCTAAAAGGTAAACTGTGCAAAACAGTGAAAAGCTAAAAAAGATAGCATGTAGCTAAAAGCTAAAAAGGCATAACATAGCTATAAGCTAAATAAAGCAGACCAGTTAAAGGCTAAAAATGGCAGAACAGAGCTAAAAGCTAAACCGAGCAGAACAGTTAAAAGCTAAAACTGTAAAACGTAGAAAATAGCTAAATTTAACAAAACAGTGAAAAGCTACAAAAGGCATAAAGTAGCTAAATGCTAAAAAGGCATAATGCAGCTATAAGCTAAATTGATCAGAACAATTAAAAGCTAAAACTGTAAAAGTAGCAAAAAGCTTTATGTAACAGAACAGTGAAAAGCTAAAAAAGCAGAGCGTAGCTAAATGCTATAAAGGCATAACGTAGTTATAAGCAAAATAGAGACCAGTTAAAAGCTAAAAAAGGCATAAATTAGCTAAAAGCTAAACTGAGCAGAACAATTAAAAGCTAAAACTGTAAAACGTAGCAAAAAGCTCAAATTAACAGAACAGTGAAAAGCTAAAAAAGGCAGAACGTAGCTAAATGCTACAATAAGCAGAACAGTAGTAAAAGCTTAAATAAACAGAAGAATAACTAAATGCTAAAATGAGCGAAACAGTCACCAAAAAATAGCTAAATCATTTAAACTACTCTTTTGCTATTTTAGATAACGTTGCTACTACAGCTTTTAGCTAATCCTAGCTGTTTGTAGTGTTTTCCCATTACATGGCCTCCTACTTTTAGCTACCATGCTGTTTTTTAGTTTTTAACTAGTCAAATTTTCTACTTTTAGATAGCTTTTTGCTTCTTTTAGCTATATGTTTTCTCCTAGAGTTCTGTTTCTTCTAACATCAGCTCAATTTCAGCTTCTTTAGCAAATTTCTGCTAAATCATTCAGTGCTCAGTGTTCACGCTGCATTTTCACAGAAAATGTAATTTATCTGATCCAAAAGTTAAATTAAAACTTGGTCCTGTTGGTGTTTTGTTTTTCGGCTGATAGAGAAGATTGGGCGGTACCATCAGGAGGCAGCTGACTGGAGAACTCGGCCGGCAGAGTGAGCAGAGCGTAGTCTCGCAGCATGGCCAGCCACAGGCGGCTCAGCGACGGCAGCTCCGGCTGCACCAAAGTGATGAGGCTGTCGGGAGGAAGCACGTCGGCGCCCAGATCGTCCTCATCCTCATCCTCGTCCTCTCTCCTGACCAGCTTGGCGGGCTTAGACTCCGCCTCTTTCTTGATCTTCATCGCCACCACGTAGACCTGACAAAGACAACCGGTGAGCGCGGTCGGATTAGTCGACGTGTAGCGATGGGGGGGGGCTCTCCGGTTCTCACCTCAGCCCACGCCTTCAGCACCGCCAGCTTCTCCATGGTGGTGGCGCTCTCGCTGTACAGCTGGCTGGAGGAGCTCCTCCCGGCCTGCACCTTGTCCAGCGACGACACCAGCAGGTTGTGGACTCGCCTCAGGTCGTTGAGGTCGCTGACGACGCCACTGCCGATCCACGTGCTGCAAACCTTGAGAACACCAGTGAGTTATGCGTTTAGCACTTTTTTATTCAGGCATTACGTAAAAAATATATATATTTATCATAAAACATAAGGTAATTTGTGTTTGGTGGATTATTTATTAGCTTCTTAATAAATCTGATTGGCAGCACCTGGAAGCTCAAAACAAGAGTCAACAGCAAAATAAGCTGTCTGACAGCAAGTATTTCATGTGCACAACCCACATACTCGGCTCTACTGCTCATCCCACAAATTGCGTGATCCTTGCAAATGTGACACCATTTAAAAGGGAAATTAACAGGCTTTCCAACGGTATGATATTTATTGCCAAGAAGCATTGTTACAACAAAGAAACAACCTACCAAACACACATTTCCTTACTGTTTGTGATAGGTTTTTATATTAGCAACTCTGGCCTCAACAACAATCAAAGGGGCAGTATTATGGGATTCTCAGGCATATATTTAAATTCTATACCATAATAAAGTAACTATGCCACCTTTAGTTGTTATTAAAATGCTATTTATATGTTTAAATAGAAAATAAACTTGACTTTTTAACATTTCTGTTTCTAAACACCTTGAAATTGGCCTCTGTCTCTTTAAGAACCTCCTTCCTGTGTGCGCTAGTCTGAGGGTTAATAAATGTAATAGCTGGTTGGTGCATGTTTCAAAATGTCTTACCTGGCACGCTTTAGCTGTAATGTCAGACGGTGTATCAGGTGAAAATGCAGGTCTGAGGGCAGCTCCGACCTAAACAAACCATTTTCGGAAAGTATTATTTTAAATTTTACACACTCTGTGATTTCTCTAAGGTAGATAAACTTAAAAAGTCTTTAGCTCACATTTGCCTGATACTGCTCAAGGATAACGTGTCCCGGGAACTCAGGCTCTGGTACTGATGCAAACTTTTTAATGATGTCCTCCAGGGTCTGCAGACCGGCCATCCTCAGCTGGTTACTGTGGTCTGTGGCTGCCATGAAGGCCATACGGATGAGGTCGGACAAGTGGAGCACCAACAGATCCCCTGGATAGAAATCATTTTAGCAGCGACAATAATTAAAAAAAATAAAAGAACACATCATCAGACGCACTGGGTAACATTTTCCTGGTTGTTTAGCATCTAACTGTTGAGCCTGTACCACTTATTCCAGATAAGCTGATGTAAATACAGCCTCTGCTTGTTACTGTGGAAAAAACTCCCAGACGTCTGCTTAGACAGTTGCACGAAACACACACAGATCAGCTCTTTTCAAGGAGCTGACCTTAGCATTGCACCGGAGGCAGCAGAAATATTCAAAGTATGAGCAGTCGGTGAATGATAAGGTTGCATGAGTGAATTGCGTGAGACTGGAGAGGTAAGTGGTACCTTTGGGATTCTTGGCTTGCGCGGAGCGAGCGGCTGCCAAGTCAAAGTGCAGCTTGTCTGCGTTCTCGCACAGCAGGATGATCCGACACAGGCAGTCGGCGGCGAACACCCGGGTCACCCAGCGCGGCGCCACCGACGGCTTGGACTTGTCRTCGTCTCCCAGGCCCGTGAACATGGTGTCGTCGTCCATCTCGTCTTTTTTCTCCGAGTCCTCCTCGTCYTTTTCCACCTCGAAGGTGACGGCTCCCCCTACGTCTGAGAGAGGAGGGGCACTGAGTTACAGCTCGGTGACTCAAAGGAGAAGATTTAGTGTTACAGACAAAATTGTAACACAAACAACTTTCTAAAGATGTTAGTTTTTTTTCCCTCAGTTATTCTTAGGTACTTTTGGCTGTTTGCTTTGGGTCATTATCTGATGAGCTGCGACTGAAGCTGACTGCACCTTGCTAGTCTTGAGACTTCACCGTGAACTGAACAGAATCAAGATGTCAGAAGCAGCAAATAAATAAATAAATAAAAAAACTAAGCCTTTGTCATGTTTCTCAGAAGTTTTTGGTGTTCTTTTCTTTTACAGCTTCATTTGTACAATTTAACTTTTCAACTTTGGGTCGCATTTCTTCTTGCGTCCACATACTGAGAGGTTGGCTACAGTCCTGTGCACTTACAATTTTAATATTTCATTACAGCTGCAGTCAGAGGAACGTGAAGCTGGTTGAAGATGATCTTGTTGACATTACCTTCATCATAGATACCTATAACTTTTGTTTATTCTGTCACAAAATAAGGCATGCTTATGTAAATTATCCAATTGCTTTTAATTGAAACGCAACTGCTAACATTAGTGAACACACATGCTAATTTAAGCAAACTGTCAAGGTAACTTTAGCAAACCTGCGCGCTAACTTTAGCAAACCTGCGCGCTAACTTTAGCAAACCTGCGCGCTAACTTTAGCAAACCTGCGCGCTAACTTTNAGCAAACCTGCGCGCTAACTTTAGCAAACCTGCGCGCTAACTTTAGCAAACCTGCGCGCTAACTTTAGCAAACCTGCGCGCTAACTTTAGCAAACACGCAAGCTAACTTTAGCAAACCTTCAAGCCAATTTTAGCAAACCTATTACAGAATATTATTGGCAGCTGTCGTTAGAGGAACATGAAGCTGGTTGAAGATGGTCTTGTTGTCTTTACTTTCAACACAGACATATTTAACTTTTCTTTGTGTACTCTGTCACATACTAAAGGCAAATATAACTTAGCCAACTGCTTTTAATTGTAGAATATGTACAATAAGTTGCCCTCAGGCCCAGGCCGCCCTCGACAAAGAGATCTGTGATCTCAGTGGGATTTGCCTGGTTAAACAACAGTTAAAAAAAAAAACATTGAATCATTTTTCAAGGGAAATCAAGTGTTTTTACCTGTAGTTGCTGCCAGGACATCTTTGCACAGTTTCAGCCAATGAGAAAGCTTCTCCACAGCAAGAGACGACAGCATGTGACCCAGCGTGTCGTGGATGTCGGAGCACAGCTTCCTGTCCGTCTCCCGATCCAGCATGCCGAACAGAACGCCCTCCAGGCCGGTCTCTGTGATGTTCAGATCTGGAATGGTGCACCCAGTCAACACAGTGAGGCTCAGTGAGTCGCAGAGGGAAACAAGTCAAACAGAAGCCACCTTATCTGGATCCTGACACTCACTGATGGTCGTGCTGTCTTTGCTGTCCCCGGCTCTTCTCGCCAGGCTCATGGCGTACTCGCAGACCTCCGCAGCTTCCCTCTGGGCGAGCTGTCTGAGGCAGGCCACGGCGGCACGACGCAGCAACAGGTGAGAACTGCACAGATGCACCTGCGGGAAACCCCACGACAACGGCATCAAGCTGTGACCTGGCAGCAAGGTGAACTTTTAACCCGTCGTCGTATGAAACTCGGGGCTTACGCATAGACAGGGCACCAGGCTGGACAGGTTGACGTGTCGCGGAGCGAACATGTGCAGCTGCTGCAAACAGGAGATGGCGGCGGCCTGGACCAGAGAGTCAGAGTTGTCCTGCATGATGGCACAGCCGACCAGGCAGGACGAGCGGATGGTGGAAACAGTGGCTCCATTTCCTAACCAACCAAATCGAGTTAATGAGGAAAAACTGACAGAAAAAAACCTTATTTTACGACGTGCCCTCGGGCGTTTGTCCTCGCAATAAAACCGCGTTCTGTGAGCACGGATTCGCCACACCCCATTTTATTTCTGCTGTAAAACAAAAAGGGCCCTGGCTTGTTTTGTTCTTTTTATCTCCCCTTCAATGCAAAACAGTCTTTGAGGAACAGTCCCTGTTAGACGATGAATCTTAACAAGCATTCACAAATGTGTGTGTGTGTGTGTGTGTGTGTGTGTGTGTGTGTGTGTGTATAATGAAAAAAGAAAGAGGACCCGCCTTTCCACCTTATAAAAGCACAATTTTAACCACATTTACACATATTCATGAGTGACTAAAATGCAAGAAAATAACAGGTTGTCTTCTGCTTGACTTTTTAAATGTATTTTACATGAAAAACAAGCAATATTGTGTTGCTAAGTTCTTCACTTTGAAGATGCATAAGTATCTAATTGTCTTTTCTACCACTTTAAGATCTCTCCTTTTGATTTTTATTAGGTTTTTCCATAAAACTAAAGGCCACAACTTAATTGAGAGAATTAGATTTCCTTCTGCTGCCACCTGCTGGTTTCAAAAAAGCTGAGGCGCGACTCAAACTGCACAGATTGAACTCAGTTACCCTGCAGTTCAGGTCCAACGGTGGTGATGAGAGCCCCCAAGCAGCGGCCCAAACACTGGTGGACCTCCGTGTGGGACGGCGGCACAGTGAGCAACAGTGTGAGCACCAGGGACAGCGTGGGCTCCACGTAGCCCCTGTACATGGGACCGCTGGAATCCACAATCAGAGCCAGAGAGTGCAGAGCCCACGTCTGCAAACAGACATGTACAGAAAATTTAAAAACAAATAAAGATTTTTTTTTAATCTACGCCTCCTGAGTGATGTTCCGTACCTGGACCTCATGAGAGGACCCATCCTGAGCGAGAGCCAACAGGATGCTGACGCTGGTCTTTAGGTGCTGACCGGACCCGATTCCTCCGACGTATCGATGCAGACAGCCGAGGGCCAGAGAGTGACCCGTCCTCGAAACGACGTCACGAGCCGACTTCAGCCTGTAAGAGGAGGAGGAGGAGCAGAGGTGAAGGTCTAACAATGAGCAGAACCATCTTATTGAACAAATTCATCCTTTTTACTTTGTGTTTAACAGATTTATTTGTTAAAGCAGGAAATAATCCTGGTTTTCTGTTAATTTAAATACAAATAATGTTGAGCGCTTCTAGATGTTCCAAGATCCAGATTTACGAGTAAAGCTGTGTCTGCTCCCAAGCTATGGAACAACTTTCATATTAGATCTGCTCATAGCTTGGAAAACTTCAAAGTGCTTCTTAAGACTCACTTTTATTCAATGGCATTTAATTAAAGTAAGACCTGGCATTGTAATTTGTCTGTTCTTAGTATTGTTGGTTGTTCTTTTAGCAATTATTGTGGTTTTGTGATATTTCTGGATTGCTGTATAGCACTTTGGTGCAGCTATTAGCTGTTTTTAAAAGAGCTTTATATAAATAAAGTTGACATTGACACAGTGTTAAATGACTGCTGCCAAATGTAGCAAAACAGCAGCTAAAAGCTTAAATAATGGTATCTAAAAGCAACAAAAGGCTAGTTTAAAGGAGAAAAACATTAATGTTAACAAAATGTACCAAAACAAAAGCTATAAGCTAAAATAAGCAGACAACAAGTTTTAAGATAAAAAAACAAAACAGCTAAAATTGAAAAATTAGCAAAAGACAAGCTAAAATTAGCATAACGGTATCTAAAAAGCTAAAAGTAGCAAGACACTTGCAGCAGCAGATTAGCTAAAAACTAAAAGTAACAAAACAAGTTCAGATTAGCAGAATGGTATCTAAAAGCTAAAAGTAGCAAAACGTTAGCTGAAAGCAGCGACAGGATAAAAAGATCAAAGAGCAAAACACTAGCTAAATGTGGTAGAATGCTAAAATAACAAAATAGTAGCTAAAAGTTAAAAGAAGCAGAAAACTACCTATAAGTAACAGGAACTAAACATCAACTAAAAACCAAATGTAGCAAAATAATTAAAAAAACATTTGCTAAAAGCAGCAACAGGTTAGCTATAAGCCAAAAATAAAAGTTAAGATTAGTGGAATGGTATCTTACAGCGAAAATTAACAGAATGATATCTAAAAGATACAAGTAGCAAAAATGTCAGCTAAAAGCATCAACAAGTTACTGGTAGTTAAAAGATAAAGTGGCAAATGATTAGCTCAAACTGGAAGAATGCTAGCTAAAAGGAACAGAAGGCTAGCTAAAAGTAGCCTATTTGTGACAAATGAAGTACATACTTGTCGAAGCTGGTCTGTGCCATTCGGGCGATGAAGGTGGCCTCTCCCACCACCTGAGCCATCCTCCCCAGGGCCTCTCCTGCAGCACAACGTAAGATGTGGTTGGGATTGTCCAGAGCTCCCATCACCAGGGCCAGAGCCGACTTGCGCACCTCCTCCGGGCCCAGAGTGCTCTTGTTCTCAGCCAAACCCTGGAATCAGTAATGAAGGAAACACGTTTTCACTTCCTGTGTGTTTGACCCGATCGGAGCTCAGGATACTTTACGCTTCTTCACCTTGAGCGCACTGAGCACCGCGGTGAAGATGTTCAGCTGAACGGCCTGCTGCCGAACTCCTTTTGCCTGCTTTATGCACTCTGCGAAGTGGTCGAGCATCTGCAGCCTGGATCGAGCACAGAGTCGGTTAACATAAAACAAGAGCAGACAGAATTACAAACCGTTAAACCTTCGCGCATCAACCGAAGCGGCTCACCTGTGTTTAAAGGAGACGTGGGGGAAAACGACGCCAAACAGGGCAACCGAGGCGTCGATCACCGACACGCCCAGAGGCAGTGGTCCGGGGATGGCCTCGCCCACAGGAACTCGCAGGTAGATCGACGAGGGGTCGTGCTCCAGAGCGCCGCTGCCAGACGCACTGTTGGGCTGCAGCTGTTCATCAAACGTTACACTGATATTAAAACGATTTTAATTACTTTAGGGCTGCAACTAACAACTGTTTTTATAATCGATTAATCTGTCGATTATTTTTTCGATTAATCGGCCAAATCATTAAAACACTTAATTACATAACTGAGTGGATATAAATTAATTTTATTCCTGTACAAATTAGGGATGCAAGTTATTGATTAATGAATTAATCTGAAGTTGATTTATCTTATAG